GACAACTCATTTATTTTGAATGTTAAAAAAGTTTAAGATATTAAAAATCATTAATAAGTGGTCAGTTGGAAATGTTTGTTGTTAAATAATTTCCACTTCCCATTTTATTATATTCCTTCATCTTAATATCCTAATCTATTTAATACTTTTTGAGCGTTTGTAACTAAATGAAATTAAAATGCTGCTTGCCAACATGATGTGTGAAAAGTAATTAAACATTTATTTTTTCGAAAATTTCGGAAACGTAGCTGTAAAAATGTTATATTTTTGAGAGACTTTGGAAGAGTAAAAACCTTGCTATGGAAAATAAGTTTGCCAAAATGAAAGTAAGTTGGTTTCACTCAGTGCCTCAGGCGTTGAAATTAGCTTATTTTCTAATTTAAAAATTTTAATTTCAATTTTGAAAATTGATTAAAAATTCTCAAGCATAAAATTTGAAAAAATTAATGAATGGAGATAAGTGGCTATTCAATAGTCATCTTCAAAAATAATTTTTGCCGAGTTTTATTTTCTACAAGTTATGTAAAATATACAAAATTTTTCAATTACCTGCTTTTAAATTCGGATGAGATAATTTGAAAATGAATTTGCAATCGTTTAGAAAAAAATGTCAACATTTATGATTGAATGAGTGCAATACATAATACAATCTATCTCAAATGCATCAGTATTTTCCAATAAATGTGTCAACAACAACAAAATTTGAAGAAAAAAATATAATGACGTAGCTTGATCAGCCAAGAAAGGTCTACTTTCCAACATAAACATGCATCAAGTTCGTAAACATCCGTGCCAATTTGCCACGATCATACAAAATCCATCATTCATCATTATTAAACACTGCACGCTTAACATTCAATACAACTCATGATTAATACACGCACGCACTTATACAGTCACGTACACACATACACACACACACACATTTGCAAACACATTTATTTTGTACTCTTTAATAGTAATTTTGTATTGATACTTGTGTAAGTCTATGTATGTGTGTATGTGTGTGTGTTTGAATAATAAAATGTGTGTGTGTGCGTGTGCGTGCGTGTAAATATGTGTTGATGAGTTATTCAAACATCAATCATAACGATGGCCCCACCCACATCCTGTTCCTCGATGATTTCAAATCCTCCAAGACTCTCAAGACTCTCCTTCGAAGCTGCGAAGTGCTGGTTGGATGGAGTATCAACACGGAATAACAACACGGAAGTTACGCGCATGGTCGGTTATTTCTGGCTGAGTGATTGAAACTGAAAAAAAACATCATACAATTTTTAACGAAACACTTCTTACATGATATGCCCATATGATCGTATATATGCTTTGTGTGTGTGTGTGTGTGTGTGTGTGTGTGTGTGTGTGTGTGTGTGTGGGTTTGTTTGTGTGTAAACATTATTTTAAATAGTTAAGTTTATTAAAAAACTTGGAGCGTGCATAGTATACATTACATCGTCAACTGTTTATATTTCATGCATTCCAAATTCCAAAACTAAATTTTCTAACAATTTTTTTGTTTTTTCATTGCAATTTTTTATTTGTTGCATTTTATTTTCAACTTTGCTGTTGTTGTTTGTTTGTTGCAGTTAAGTTTTTAAACGGCTTTATTGTGCATTTCAAAGCTTATAAATTGCATTTAACGTTTCGCTCGCTGGTCCTCTCTGGTTTGTTGGTGGGTTAGTTAGTTGTTGGTTGGAATGTTGGTTGGTAAGTTGGTCGGTTGGTTGGTTGGCTGCCTGGTTAGTAGGTTGTTTGTTTAGTTGGTTAGATGGTCGTTTGGTTGGTTGGTTGGTTAGTTGGTTGGTTGGATGGTTGGTTGGTTGGTTGGGTTTTTGTTTGTTGGTTTGTTGTATTGGTTGGTTGGTTGATTGGACTTTTGTTGGTTGAGTTATGATTTACTTTTGCTCTAAATTTGTTCAGATATTAGATGTTTTTAATAAATGTTATTCATATAGTTAGAACATTTTTTAAAGTAATTTTTTGAACAATATCATTCACACTCTTTAAAAATCATTTACACTTCAACAATTTCCCATGACATTTCTAATAAACGTTTGTTGAATGTGAGCTTTTTGGTGAACGATGAAATAAGTGAAATTTAAAAGCAATTTGTGTCTTCACGCTTATTTTTATATAATAACTTTTGATGTTATTGTTTAATATAAATGGTGGATGCCACGAAGTGGTTGCTATGGAAAGTTGTGATGTTTGGAAAAAATGTTGGTGATATATTTTTTTATTTGTCCTCTGTTTGTTTGTTTGTTTGTTTGTGTGTGTGTGTGTTTATGTATGTGTTTATGTGTGTGTTTGTGTGTGTTGTGTGTGTGTGAATGTTCAAAAATGATAAAATGATTTAAAAAATATTGTATCAATAAGGAAGCTATTATATTAATCATTCCTAATATTTCGTGTTTAATTTCATTTCATGCATGGAATTTAAGCCAGTTCAAAAGTTAAACCAAATCATTTTAAATGTTTAGTTTGTAAAAATATAATCTAGCATATCATGGTTCTTCTACATTTTTAACAAAATAATATCAACAGAAAATAACTAACAACACGTTGATGTATCGAATAAAATTTTAAATTATTGTTATTAATGATCCGTTCTTAGGAAAATATGTGTTATTGTGTTATGATTACCAGACGGTTTATTTAATTGTACCCAAAAAGTAGTGGAATAGTGTAGTAGATGATAACAAATAGTGGCTGTCTACTTTTTCTAGTTCAAATTCAAAATTCTCTATCTAACATGATAAGCAACTGTGATTAGTGTCGAGTTCGTTCACACGCATTCGCGTACATTAAAGGTTAAAGGTTACTCTCTCTCTCTCTCTCTCTCTCTCTCTCTCTCTCTCTCTCTCTCTTGCGTTTGCTTCAGAGATTTCAACGACTAACACACACACCGTTTATGATACGCGTGCAAACCACGTATCACACACTACACATTGCACATGATAGGCGGGGATCTCTTTGTATTCGAACCAAGTCATTGCAATAGTAAAACCAGGCGCCCTTAACCATTGAGTCATCACGCCACCATCACATTGTGTGCATTGTATTTATTGCTTCTAAATTTTACGTAGAAAAGAATGGCTATGGCCATATTTAAAAAATGAAATGGCGAATAAATTTAATTTCCTTAAACCTGGCTAAGTATATGAAACTAAATTTTGATTTAAATATAAATTAAAGTCTTTCATTCATTTAGTTTAAGATGTTTTGCGACTTTTTTCAATTTGTATTTGATAAAAAATTTTGTTGTTTATTTGCATACATGTTGTGCGTGGTGTATTATATTCTTTGGAGTTGTTTCACTTGATGTTTCAGGATTTCGGTGGACGTTTTACTGAATGCCTTTTTGAATGTCTTATGGAATGTTTCATCGGTTGTTTCATTTAATGTGTGCTTCGATAAATGATGTAACCCAGATCAAACGTGTCTGCCGAAACTGTCCTCAAATAGAGTCAACATTCAAACAAATGGTTTTTTGATGATAGAGTTAAGTAACATTATTGTTTAAAATCACCAATAAACTTTCTAAACTTATTTTCAATGTTTTAATGACGCTTTTCTGGATGTTTCACTCGTTTCTTTATTTGCCACAAAAAAAACAAACGCCAGGTTTTTTTTTAATTTTATGAGCGTAGTTTACGGTTTATAAAAGGACGATGTTGAATTTCATTTCTAACTTCTAAATTTTACGACTCACCAGCCATACAGATACCATTAATAAACAAACAACTCTAAATGCTTAAACGTTGAACAAGTTTTTGATACCATAAATTTCAATGCTCTATATTTTTTTAATTTAATATTTTTAAAAAATACAATCGATAAACTGTTTCTGCTTGAACTGCTTGATAAAATGAATTATTCAAAACTATGTGAGGAATGTTAGCGGGAAAGGTTCGTGTATTTACTCAAGGAATGAGCTTTATAATCTTCAAACTGCTCGTACCTCGTTTAAAAGGATGGGAGGAAATTATTATTAGCAGCAGGATAATAAACAAACTTTTAAAAGAAGTTGAAAATTACAGCAGCTGCAACATTGGAATTTTATGGGGCCAGCATAGAAAACTTAGGGTGTACCACGCATGCAGCCAATAAACATTTATTTATTTTTATATCTCATATCAGTCCGCAATAAATTTATTTTTAAACAGTGAAAACTTTAATTGCAAAAAATTCCGCATTTTTATGAAACAATTTTTTCAATTACATTAAATCAGAGAATCACATTTTTTTATTCAGACTATAAACAGAATAAAACCTGTTCTGAGCTGATAAAGTTTTTTATTAGAAGATAATGACTTTCTTGGGATGAGGTGGGAATTTTCTAGAAGGATCACCTGACTTCGACTTGATATTAATTATCTCCGTCACGAACGAAGCAAACAGTGTTCATTGTTTTTAACAATTAATGTTGAAAAACTAAGGTATATACATCATATGATACAAAAATGTATAAGTTTGTCCAGACACATCCAGATTCATATGTTACACATTTTATACGTTAACCGTGGCATTCTTTCAAATAATTTTCCTCTAACATTTCCACACAAAATATGAAGGCTATTTAAAAACTTTGGCATAGAGACATGTAGTGAGAATAAACTTGTTAAGAACTACAATTAAATATTTAATTTGTTAATAGAAAATGCAAAAATCACGTTAAAAAGATGAGGTTCCAGTGTGCAAGTTTTGCGAAGGAGACGATGAATCAAAATGCCTTTCAGAAACTAATTGGACTTTCGTTCTAAAATTCAAGAATTCGCCTTTTCGGGTAATACAATTTTTAACATTAAAATAATTTTTCAATGAATTTTGTAAATTTTTTTTACGAACTTTCATGAACATTTCCAAATGAAACTTGAAAAGTTTGTTTAAGTTTTTTCGTACATTATTGATTAGGTTATAAGTAGTGTATGCCTGGTTAAGTTAATGTTGATTAAAGTATAAAGCTTTTATGTCTACATGTTTATAATGTACTTTTGCACACACACACACACACACACATACACACCCACAGATACACACATAATGTATACACATATACACGTTCACCATCATTATGTACGCTTGCACATAAAAACATATCCATGCTGAAACATTTGTTCAAACATTAAAACACACATCATTGTTCCATGAGAGACTTGAATGGATGGGTTTCGATTGGATGAGCAGAGAGAAAGAAAGAGAGAAAGAGAGAGAGAGAGAGAGAGAGAAGAGAGAGAGAGGGCAGAACATCAACGATCTTCAATGCACAAGATGCACCATCCATGATAGCACCTTCATTGCACGATTTATGTTGCCTCTCTCTCTCTCTCTCTCTCTCTCTCTCTCTCTCTCTTTCTGTCTGGTTCTCTGTTTCTCTGTCTCTCCTCTCTTTCACATTCTTTTTCTGTGTTTTTCTTCTTCTTTCCACAGCCAGGTCCAATGCCACTGCCACTTTTTCATTTTTAATTTTGAAGTTCTGACATGAAACTTCGCTACAAGATTAAAAGATGGTTTACTTCAGGCACGCAGTTGCGTCAACATTATATCATACGCACAGGACCTTTGACACTTTTCTGTTTTTTAAATTTATAATTAAATATTTATATTTAATAAAATTGCATTTCAAATGTCTACTTATTTATTTGCAATGTCATTTTATCAAAATAACCATAATTAATATCATTAGCATATTCATCATCGTCGTCGACATCAGCATTGTTAAATAAGATTGATCCGTCAATATTATCATCATCAGAATTATGCTGACGATGATCGTCCTCATCATCGTCATCATCAGTTTCAACGCTATAACCTCCTACCAGCATACCACAAACTCCTTAGAAACATGTTGCCATGGTAACATGTTGTCACGTTCATTTAAAATTTAAATTATTTCCATTAATGACGTCATTGTCGTCGTTAGCTTCGTCACCATTATCATCATTGTTATCGTTTTAATCAACGTCATCACCATCATCATCATCATATCAGCAGCAGCAGCATCAACATCAGCATCATCATCATCGTCATATCATCATCAGCAGCAGCATCAACATCAGCATCATCATCATCATCATCATCATCATCATCATCATTTTATCATCATCATCATCATTCTCACAATCCTCGCATTATCGTCAAGTTGAACAACTAAGTCTCTTTTTATTTTCCTTCAACACACAGTGCCTTATTGGTTTGAATTCTCGGTTCTATTCATTCTTGTAACTTTGAAATCTTGTAACTTTTTAGTAAAGTTTTGTAAAGTTTTGTTGGTAACGTTAATAAAAGTGATTTACTAGTGGTTAATAATAATAATTATAATAATAAATAATTATAATTATAAAATTACTACTAATAAAAATAATAAAATAAAACAGCAATAATTTGAAATTTTGTGATAACCATTTTTAAACTGCATGAATTTTCATTCAGAAATTTTTATCTCATCTTATTTCATTTTCAAGTTAAATGATAATTGCAAATTTGTTTGGATATTTTATTGTTATCAAAGTGTGCCCCTCTCGTAAATTTACTAAACCATTCTTTGAGAGTAACGAATCAGGTTTTGTTTCAGTTCCTCCATTAGCTTAGCCTAACAAGGATCAATACCATTGATTCCGTTGTTGTTTTTTTTAAAAATGTTGAAATTACGAGAAATCTCTGCAGTTGAAGATCAAATCTGTAGCAGAGGGGAAGAAATTTTTGTTAAAAAGTCCAACAAAACGTGATTAACTCTGCTAAGCTATGAGATAGGCCTATATAAAATTCTGTATTTCCGATACGTTTTTTTTATAATCCGAGCAAATTTTAGATTTAAAAAATTTTAAAGTATTTGTTTGTGGTTTTGAGGTGGTCGATTGTAACGTGTGAAAGACACTGTGAGGTCATCACTGCGTGTATTTAAACGGGCTAATTAATAACCGTAATTTCAAAAATCGTTTCAGTATAATTCTTATTTTTTTAATTGTGTTAAATTTGAAATTAAACAAATATAAAAATTAAACGTTTATTGGGATAACACTTTAGTTTGCTAAGTTAATTAGATAATTCACAAAATATTCTGTATGAGTGTAAAACGACAAATTCAATGATAATTCAATTCAAAAAGAGCGCGAAAATTTTAAAAATGTCTTAGAAACTTTCGACATGTGTTTGCTCGCGTGCGAGTTCACATTATTTTAAAGATGGGAAGTTCTTAATAAAAAAACAGCTGTCTAAATGAAAAATATTTTTGCTGTTAAAATTATTACTTTGTGAAATAATTTTTTTTTCAATTGTGGCTGTGTTGGAAGGAATAAGAGTTGAAGCTTAAGTTTTTTGTATAAAAATCTTCTGTAAGACATTATTTCAAAACTCAAAAATTGGTTTCTTCTACAGGTTAAATATTTCAAATGAGCTGGTTACAGATTTTTTAACCACCGCGAACGTACGCATAACGTTTATATAAATATTATTGTTAGCAATATAATTTTGACGATCAATAAATCCGGTAATATCTATTGCTTTGAAAAGTTTGATGTTGTTGATGACTTCGAAAGGATTGGTGGTTGAAAATAATTTAAAAAAACGACTTAAACTATTCACAATTCGACAATATATCCAGAGGCTTTTCAAGCGTTAATATTTTATGAGGTTCATTTGGTGGTTGTTCAACAATTACATTAAAATGTAGGCTTTCAACACCGGGTTATCCTCCTTAGAAATGTAGGGGCCATGAACTGAACGTTAAACATCAACATCGGCATGTGCTGTTTGGCCGCCAAAGGACAGGACAATCAGTCACCGTCAATCAAGAACAGGGCCGTGTTGCTGACAGTGGCGTATTATTTATATGAAGAGAGAGATGAAGTTAGAAACTGAGGAAGAGAAATGGAGTGAAAAAGAAGATAGATGGAGAGAATAAGTATGAGAATGAGGAGAAGCTAGAGGGGAATGAAAAAAAAGAAAGGTATAAAATGCAAGAAAACCGGAGAACTAGCACAAATTAAATGAATCTATATTATTAGCAAGCATAAATATTAGTATATTACAGGGGTGGACAAACTTTTTGCTGTGAGGGCCGCATTGAGAACTATTTTACCTTTGAAGGACCGCATATGTATTTGAATAGCAAATTTTTTCGAGACCCGGGAGAGAAAGAAAATTTATTTTAAGTTTTGAAGCTACTTTTTTAGTCATAATGTCTAGCTGATGATTTTTTTATGGCGAACAAGGCCTCGTGGGCCGCATAAAGTAACTTCTTTGAGGGCCGTAGCTTGCCAAGTATATTAGTATTTCGATACTGAATATTTTTAAAATTTAACTCTTAAATTCAATTGTGAACAAATAACATAATTATCTTAAAATATTTTTTAAATTTTAATAAGGAGAGGAATTATTGAACATTGAAAGAAAGTGAGCGGCTAAAAAACTGCAGACAGACAAAGGTGATAAAAAGAAGGAAAGAGCATAATGGTTCACATTCATCACTAGCCAGACATTCATGAGAAAATCATTAATCTTTTAAAAAATAATAATACACCGAATACATGCCAATAAATCAATTGGTGTAGCGCTGTTCAACTTGTCTGACCCTCTAAACAGCGGGGATCATTTCCGCAGTTCAACTTTTACAAACGTGAAAAATCTGTTTCAAAAAAGTGATACATTTTTTCAGGATGGTTTCAAAAAATGTTGTCTAAAATTGGAGACTTGGGATTCTTGCAACATGAAACATTAAATTTAAACTATCATCAGGTTTTTTGGTTAGGTACAATGATGTAAATATTCGAAGAACACCAGGATATCAGCATCAACAATATTAGCGTTTCGTGTTATGTAAGAATGTTATTCAAGTTCGGATTTATATTTTTTTTTTATTTTTAAACAAGAACTAACTCCATTTAACAAAATTTAATTATTGATAAATTTGAATAATTAATATTTATAATATTTTTTACAATTACAGAAATTGAGATGATATGTGGAGAATTGAGAAGTGTCTTTTTGTCACATGTAAGTGTCATTGCTGTGGAATATATGTTTGAACACGGCCTTTTGATGCTGTGATTATATTTGAAAAAAAAACTTTCCTGAATTTAAACCACAAAAATAGCATGAATATTTTTATTTATTTTTTTAAAGTGATTACTTCAACTAAATCTTCATATCATTAAAACGACCACCCCCACTCGGCGCACATACGTTTTATTAGTTTAACGCATACTGCGAAAACTTTTAATTAAAAAAACTAATCGGATAACTTTTTTTCCTTGAAGTTTGTTTGATCTCAAATGAAACATTCAGCGTTTATAACTCAACCATGGCGATGACAATCATGTTCAATCAAACAACTTTAATTTTCGATATACATTGATAACATAATTTGTTTTTTAAAGATCAGTTGATCCATTGGAATTAATTATACGTCGTGAGTCTACGATTTTGTAGAAATCTATATTTGTACGAAGCACGGTTAGACATGAGCCTTAATTAATCGCCAGTCAATCCCCCAAACTTTTTGCATGATTGGAATATGATGGGCAGCAAATTTTGTTCTAATCCTAATATCTTAGTCGATACAAGTCACCCAAAATTATTGAATTTGAAAAACGTATTTATAAACGTTTATTAATCATTTACAACTCATCAGAATCACAATAATATTAAAATACACTGTAATATTGTTATATTTCTAGTTATTCTCATTAGAGTAAAAATTTTAAATATTTGAAAACTCTACATCATTCTCAAATTTTTTCAAAACTGAATCAATCATTTTTTTAAGTTTTTTAATAAATTTTGTCCATTTTAATAAAATGTATTGTTAATAATACAATAATCTTCTAAATAAAATACCTTTACTTCACATGAATCTAAAATTCAAAAAATTTTTCGTAAGTTTAAATTGATAGAAGTTTTAATATATTTCCTGTTGAAATTTTTAAAATTTTCAATTTCAGAAGTTGCTTTTGATTTATTATTTCATGGTTGATTGAAGATTTCAGCTGTTAATGTCTTTCAGACACGGGTTTCTCAGTGTTAAAACTACATTCAGATTTTTTGTGTCTACATTCAAACTAAGAACTTTAAAATATTTAAAATAGTAAAATACAATATCAATTTT